TTGAAACCGAAGGTTTCGAAATATTTAATTACTTGACGAAACGCAAGAAATGTGTTATACTGTTACTCTGTCTTATTAATCTAACACACCAAATTTTTCCTCATACTTGTCGTTTATGAAACAGCTCCAGGAGAAGAAGAAGTAAAGACCAGGAAAAAGAGACAAAGTAAGAATTTTATCCGGCTTTCCTCTCTTCATAGAGCTATCCACTATTTTGATCCTTTCCCGAAAATTAGATTCTTAAACCCAAACTACAACAATATGGGTTTTACCAGTTAGTATTCTCCTACACATTTTGCTTTTAACTTTAAACAAAGTGAAAAGAAAAGATCTCAAATATTACAATTTATTATCAAATTCAATGTGAAAAATTGTCTAATTTTGGGTGCATTCAGCAGAGCCATTGCAGCTGAATACATAAAAACGAGGGGATCTTGATCGACAATGAAATATTTAAAAGGAACTAATTCTAACTATGTACAACCATATTTCACGAAAGTATCCACCGATCTTAGTGTATAACTTCCCTAGGTAGAAAGCTAAAAACGGCTTAAATCCCTCCTTGGAACTTCTTACTGCAGCCTCATTTCATAGTAATGGACTTTTTTTCACCCAGTGTTATTCTCCAAGGTCGCACCTTATATTTTTGTTTCTTTGAAAGGTTATTATGAAACGCATTTTAATTCTGTGAAACTTGTTTGCATTTAGTGTTAATTTTTCCTTTCAGTTCCCGGCTTTCTTTTTCCTTTTTCCATTTTTTTTGTAGAACATTTCAATCTGAAATTGAACGAGGAGGCCCTGAAAATATTCTATAACGCCTTAACACCCATAAGTGACTGGTAACTTCTCCCAGAAATTTCAAACTTGTCAGCTAGTGGTCGTTATCTTGATACAATACCAAATTATTTTTCTTGATTTACTAGAAAAACCATAGAGGGGAGAGTCACTAACACGATTCTGGAAGTTAATATTCGAGGGTTAACGAAATTCGAACCGTTGAATGTTATTTACACTAAGCTGCGAAGCCATATTTCTTCTATGTTCCGAGTATAAACAAAAGATTACGCGAGAATATAGAAAATTTTAATTATCGCGATGTACTTGGCATTGCGATTAAAAAAGAAAAAGTAAAAAATTCCCTCCCTGAAATTATATCGGTTTATATAATATATGTATCGTGGTTGAAAAGACCCTGAAAACATTTCTGGCCTTCAACAAGACTTAAACTCATGTAAAATGAATGTAGCTGTGTACACTTAGTAATTCCCTTACGGAAATACGATTGTGGTAAATTTTGTTTTTCAATCACCTCCATCTTTTCGGTTTGAATAAGGCACTTTTGAAAACGGTCTTACTCGACGTTTTCAGTATTTTGCGATGGCACTTACAGTGTCACTAACTGCGTTTCATCGCTTTTGTGATTAAATACAATATGCCTCTGCTCCTCAGACGATTCACATACGTATTCTACTTTCTGCTTAAAGATAAAGAAGAAGATATTATTTCTGCGCTCTCTCCGCCTTATTTGTAAGTGATATTAGTTTTTTTTGTAAAGAAGGAAAAAACCTGCTTTCTATCCATTAGGTGGATGCAAGGACCTGCTTAACTACTGCTCTCAATGGCCAGACAATTACTGTCAAACCTATAAAGATTACATGAAAAAGAACTGTCCAAGAAAATGTGGATATTGTAGTGAGTACATAGTTATCGTGATAAATGATTCCAAACATAGTTATCGTGATAAATGATTCAAAAGTATCTCTAAACTACGAGCACTCCCTCTTTCCTCGAGTAATCCGTCGGACGAATCAATTTTTAATTGGTGAAATAAATGTCTTGACGCTGCGCGAATCGTTTTCCGAAGGTAGGTCATGTTACACGAAGTCACCTCATTCCCAAGTCGAGTGACCTCGCTCTCGAGGTAAGTCAAGTCGCCCATGAGTGCGGTCATGTACATCGCATGACATTGTATTAGGACACCAAATGCCAAACGACAACTCAGCACCACGTGAAGGTTTATGATTTTTGTAATACAATTACTAAAGCGCATATACCGACTGAAAGAGTTCAGAGAGGCTCTATAAACAGTCACTTCTACAGTTTATTACACGACTCGGGCAGTCAGAGGGCCAATAACTAAAATCAACCAATCAAAATGCTCTGTTGCCGGTCCGATATTCTCTAAGTATTGGACCGGGCACTGTCCCGAATGGTCCCGAATGATACTGCACTTGTGTCCCTCTGAACTTCAGTCGTATAATAAATCTCTTATTAACCAAGCTTGCTTGGGGCCGT